TGGATTTGGAATAATGTAGGTGATGGAACAATATAGGTGAAGGCAAAAAATTCCCTCAGAAGCTTCCCTGCTCTCACCCATCAGAGAACTATAAGCAGAAGCTGTCCTCATGTCATTATAAATAGCCAACAAGCACATAACTCAAATACCCTCTCTTCTTATCCTCAGTCTGCCATTAGCAGCCACAGCAGAAGCCCCTTTAGATTAAAGGGGTCTGTATCACAACAACCTAAATAGCAAATGTTAAAAGGTTTACAAGTTTGATGGAGGCTCTCTGAGAGTGGCATACATTTATTTCCCTGGGACATGATGCTAGTAAGGATCTGTTTACACTAAATATGAGATCACTGTGTTTTACATCGGGTCTTATTTGCCATGACCTGTGTAGCCATATTATTAAAAAAGTAACTTAACAGAGCCTTAAAAAATATATAGAACTCACTTTTCTCACACATATTTGATCTTTTTTCAGCTCATACATCATATAAATCTCCTGGAGTGAGGTGATTTTGTAATGAATAGGCAAAGAATGGGGCATCAAAGGAGCAATATCAGATTCAGTATTGAATCAGGTGACAGGAAACTCACAATGAAACAGGAATGAAATGGCTACAGGCAGAGGTAACCCAGACGCTCCTGATACAAAAAGAAAGTGACTCAACAGCATTTCATTACAGACAGTTTCATTGAAATTGTTCCAAGATTTTTTTATTTTTTTTTTTTTTTATGAAGACAACTGCATTAACAGAGAGAGAAAGATTTGTGGAAATGTATTATTCTTACAGTAATTGCCATGTTAATTGCTTGATAAGTGAATAATGTATCTCATGAGGTTTCCTCCTTTATTTGAAGATAAAAGGATGACACATTCACTATTTTTTTGTTGTTGTAAATGATTATGAAAAAATTGTTTAGCACATTTCTAAAGTAATAAAAACACCTGTTTAGGCATGAGTTTCGATTAGATACCATATACAACGCTGGGAAAAAATGTTTGTCCCCCTGAGTAAATACAAAATACAGTTTCCTATAATGGTTAAATTTATTAAGGGAACCAACCATCATAACCTGGTTCTATGTAAAAGAGAAGTTGTACCTAAAACCTATTCTTGATTCAAATAATTACAGAGAATTGTACATCCTGAAGCAGCAAAAAAGTCAAAGTTTGACTAATAGTAATATTCAGTATTCTATTTAATATTGTTTTAGTTCAACTTTAGACATATTAGTCATATTAGTCATGGCGTCAGCAGTGGTTTTTCCCTTGGAGCTCTAAAATGTTATTTTTGCCTGTCTCTTTCTTGTGGAGTCTTGAACGCTTACCTTCAGTGATGCACATAACAAGGCAATGCATTGCTTTCTATGTTCAATCCATTGAATTTGAATATACTTTGTTTGAATGCATGAGTTTCAATGTGAACTTTCAGCAAATCTGGTCTTCCAGTCTCTCCTGAAAAGAATAGCCTCTATTTCATGTTTAGCAGACAAGAGGTAAGATGGACTATACCCTAAACATCATTCATCTGTCAATCACAAGGAAGCACTGAGGAATACAGAGAAACACCAGAGTACACACTTGTTTCGATGGCCCATACGATTGCTGACCTACTCTGTAATCACAAAGCTTGCAACTCCCTGTGGATGTACGGTAATAAGAAAAGATATAATTCTAAAACTATGCAGTTTAGGGATTTTGTGAACACTTTTGTAACAAAGATCATCGATGCAGATGAGGGAACTCCCTGCAGGTATACAGGGGAGTATTATTTTCTAGTTTGGCTAAAACAAATTGTCCATGAATTTGGAGAAAATTAAGTTCATCTTATTTTGACATTATATAAATACTATATATATGGATGTGATACAGGGATTAAAGTTGGAATGAGTAAATGAAGTGAAATGTTTGACTACCTAATCTACGGGAAAGCTTACATTAAATATGTCCAGATTAAACTATCTAAAAACATCACAAATGTTTTCACGATAGTGGTGCTCAGTGGGCTTTGGGTAATTTTGTTTGACTGAAGACGTGTGTAGGTATATTTTTATGTATGTGTATTCATATTTTATTTCTCACCTAATGGTGCAATGATCTAGGCACTGGTGACTGGCCTAATTATTCATTCCATTCCGCTGTCTAACTCTGCTCAGTTTCTCATCACTGCTCATCTCATCCACCTGCTATTTAAGGTGCTTGCATCCAGTCATCAGTGCCAGATTATTCTTGTTCTCTCTAGCAAGTGGTGAGAGTGTTTTAAGAATTCCTTGGTGCATCTGATTTCCTGATGCTGACCTGTTCTGCCTCTCAACCTCTGAGCCTGCCTGTTCCTGTTCTGATGTGTTTGCCTGACCTGTCTTCGGATTCTGTTGGATTCTATTGTGGACTAAACTTGTAAACCAGGTTAGTGACTCATGTTCATAATCTTCCTACATTAGATTTAACCGCTCACTAACCTGTGTTTCCTCTCTCCAGAGTTTCCTGCCTGAGACATTCTAGTAGCCCCTTTATTTTAATATTCGCTTTTTGGGTAATCTCATTGTCTGTCTTGCCTGAATACTGGGTCCTTCTGTTCTGAATCGTGACCAATAGACCTCGAAGTAGTACAGATTCATGAGTAAGGCAGGAATTGGGAATAATGATGGTGTTAAGGAGTGTAGGAAGGAGAAGGGGCACTGCTTCAGATCCCTTTTCGGACATAATAAATAATTAATAAATATCAATTAATTATGTATATCACAACTTTTGTATGTGCTAAATTTGTTTTTGGTTTTTTTTTTCACTGGATTGTCTAAATTGAAATTATTGATTATTTCAGTCAAAGAACAGTAGATTTGATTACAACATATACTGTATCTAAATGTGATCTAAATTGTAGTCCTTTTCTTAAGATGACTTCTATCCATGTGGTGTATTGAGTGCTGATTGAAAGCAAAGGCATAGAGCTTTCAGTTCTGAGGGTTGGGTGCAACTTTGCTAGTGCTCCAAGTTATTGCTCTCAGAAAACACTTTTCCAGACTTCCTTATTCTCACCCAATAAAAATCTACATAATCTTCCATTAAAACCATTAAGTCGACCATAACTTAAATTATAGCTAGGCACTTATTAACGGTTGCTTTCTCACAGGTGGGGCCCACAATGTTTGGCATTCCAAACCTTGCACAACCGGCAACTTTTGACGTTATTCACCAAATTGTGCAAACATTTTTTTTTTTTATGCAACTTTTGGACATAAAATTGAAGGTAATCCATGAACTATGAGATCAATCTAAACTGTCTAAGGAAAGTTATAAAATTTTGACATATGTGATTTTAAATTTGTTGTCTGAACTATCCCTTAGCTGGCAATGCTGTGCATGCATATGGATGAGAATCAAATGTGTGTCTACATGGTCCAACTACAGACTGGCAACTTTTTTATAGTGTCTACTTTATGGGACATGATAGCTTCCACCTTATTTTCCTTAAGGCAGCTGCAGAAGATGATTGAGTTTGATCAAGATTAATAATAAAGAGTTTTCATGTTTTTCGTAAGCCTTGATTCTTCCTTTGAAAATTGATAATGCAGATAAAAAAGTGACTCCATTTTCTCAACCCTTTGAAAATATTATTGCATTTCATATTCTTTATCTATAAAACACAAGAACAATTGAATCATATGAGGACCTGTGATATTTTGTCAGATGTACATTATAGAAATGACACTGAACACATGGAAACTCTGTATTTGTAAAGTCCTGGCTTCAGCCCAGAATGCCATCAGACTCCAATCAGCTCAGAGATAAAATCCTTGTACGTACTCGAAATATAAAGACTGATGTAACTGCATACTAAAAGCAAGCATTATTCATTCTACTTCCCTTTCCAGTTTGTGCATCATTCCATTTATTGACTGTCTCCTGGCACTAATACTACTCATGCACAAATCTCCGGAGTCATCCCTCTTGTTTGCTGCAGTGAAGCATGCATTACATTATTATTATTATTATTACAGTACATTTTTGAAAGTAGTTACAGGAACAGTTGCAGACAAAAGAGCAGGTTTTTACAGGGTGACATGACTCTGCCTGATGTCACCAACCTGGTCTTAGCAGGCGTCAGGACGACTGCAGAGACGGTAAACTGAGGAGCTGGCAGTTAAAAATGGAGCTACAAAACAAGAGTATATAGAGCATGAATTCCCCTAAGTTTCATATTTAGATTAGACGGTTTTATTTAAGGTTTACAGTACTTTATACTGTTTTCAAAACACTGCATTAAGTTAAAGACTAAAGTTGCAAATAGAAAACAGCACAGTTTATCATTGAATATAGACATTTAAAGCAGAATTTGTCTAATCATTGGAATCATTGGTACGAAAGAAATGTTCCAAACTTGCCGTAGTTTATGATCACATCTTTTTACAGGAAGCAGGGATATCATGACTCATACAAAGAGCATCGCACTAAAAAATAATGGGTATTTCTTATTATAATATTAATGCTCCTCGAGAACTGCCTTTTTATTACTGTTCTATATCTATTCTAAATAGATTACAATTAGAACATTTTCCATTCACAAATTCTAGAGGGAATAAAAAAAGAGCTTGTTTCTAAAAGACACACCAAAATACTCAATTAGAGCAAAAACATCACAACAAATTATTTTAAATTCAATGGGAGACATCTGTCTGCATGAGTCTGTCAGTCTGGGATATGTTGCTGTTTAGAGAAAATTTCTGAAAACATTTTAAAGCACTCAAATCCTCCCTGCCTACATCAGGCCGGTTTTCATCCACTCTCCATTAACTGTAAATCTTTAGCTCATTCCTCTAGCTGCTATTACTGTGATGCAGCAAAGTAATGCTGACTGCCCTCGGCAAAGCACAACCTCATGCTTTAAGAGGGTAATTTGTAGAAGGTGCAGGTGCAAAAAAATACAAGAATCCCCAATACGGAATAGAAAACATATATACATTCATGGTTGCATGGGATAAACTTAGTCCAGCATTGATTCACTCACCAGCTTTGAGGCTCTGGGGTAAGCTGCTGGTGAAGTGCCACCGAGAACCCAAAGAAGGTGCCCCTGTCTCCCAGTTTGTGCAGGGTGTGAGTGGTGTCCAGATTAAAGCAGTAGACCTGAACTAAGAAAGAGGAGAGAGTCCAAAGGAGGAACATCGAGGGATGAGGGGAGACAGAGGAGAGGAAAGCCAAGTCCCCATGTCCCATCAGCGATGCCATAATAGAGGGCAGGTCCTCCTGCAGAGAAAGTTCAGTTGTAGAGGGGCAGATGGGAGCTTCTTATGGTCCCTGGGGTGCTGAAAAAGCATCAAATCATGAGTAAATCTATTCTTTTCAGTCCTCTGTAAATAACTTCCTTGTTTCTAGCCCTCTGTGCTCCTCTCTCTGTTGTGTTGGCTCTAAACTACGTTTGCTGCTGTCAGTCTGATGAGCAGGCTGCGAAAATGCGGCTGCTACTACTATGTGTGTGCAAGTGGGCTTCTCTCAATGCATGTGCGCCTCCCCCTCCTTTAGACAGAGGACAAGTGCCTTGAATAGCCCGCTCACTCCTCCCCCTCGCCTCTCTTTTTCAGCCTGTCCACTCCTCTCTCCCTCCCCCTCACTCAGTCCCTTCCTCTCCTCCACTCAGCTGACATCAACACTCAAGGGACTGGAGCCAAAATACCAGGCAAGGTTGTCAGGATACTTGGAGGCTACTGAACAGACTGAAAGAGAGAGGGCGTAAAGACATTCTGTTTTATCTGCTGAGTTCACACGGTCCATGCTGTGTTCTGCACCTCTCTGCTGCAGGTGCTGTTGGGCTGAGTGGCATGAAGAGAAAATCAAAGTTTTTAACTTTAAAAGTCAGGATGGTAACATCTAAGTATAACTTAATACATGCTTGACGTACCTAAAAGCCCAAAAGTCTCAGCTGCGGTGATCTGGAAAAGTTTTCAGACACAAAAGAGAAGAAATGTGGTGACCCCAGAAACTTCATCCCCTTTGGTCCTGTGACAATAAGTTGCACCAACAATACAACATGAGCAAGCAGGACCAAATTAAAGCCCTTACACTTAAATATATTTGTTCACAGCTATACAACTTAAAAAAGGAGTTGTGATCTTTTGAACCTTGGGATCTAAAATGCTTTGAAAGATAATTCAGACCCCTTGAACCATTTCCTTTTTACTATAGATGCAGATTAGTTTTGTGAATACACCAACACAAAACAACACAGCATAGAGATCTTCTTTCTAAAAATAGTCTGAAAGTGTCATATTCAGCACCAATTAGTCCATACTTGGCCTAAATATAAATACAGTTAGGGCCAGAAATGTTTGGACAGTGACACAAGTTTTGTTATTTTAGCTGTTTACAAAACATGTTCAGAAATAGAATTATATATATAATATTGGCTGAAAGTGCACACTCCCAGCTGCAATATGAGAGTTTCCACATCCAAATCGGAGAAAGGGTTTAGGAATCATAGCTCTGTAATGCATAGCCTCCTCTTTTTCAAGGGACCAAAAGTAATTGGACAATGGACTCTAAGGGCTGCAATTAACTCAGAAGGCATCTCCCTAGTTAACCTGTAATCAATTAAGCAGGTAAAAGGTCTGGGGTTGGTTTCAGGTGTGTGGTTTTGCATTTGGAAGCTTTTGCTGTGACCAGACAACATGCGGTCAAAGGAACTTTCAATTGAGGTGAAGCAAAACATCCTGAGGCTGAAAAAAAAAAAAGAAAGAAAAGAAATAGCAGACATGCTTTGAGTAGCAAAATCAACAGTCGGGTACATTCTGAGAAAAAAGGAATTCACTGGTGAGCTTGGGAACTCAAAAAGGCCTGGGCGTCCACGGAATACAACGGTGGTGGATGATCACTGCATACTTTCTTTGGTGAAGAAGAACCCGTTCACAACATCAACTGAAGTCCAGAACACTCTCAGGGAAGTAGGCAGTGTTGTGCCTGAACACGTTAATTGAACGAAAGTTCATGAACTCGTTCATATTTTGGGCGAACGTGAACTGAACGTATTGCATTACTGCCTGATGAACGTTATTGTGAACTCGTTCATTCTGGTGTCTGTGAACGGCACGCTCTCTCAGTTCAGCTCCGTTCAAAAGGTTGCCAGATTTCTATAGAGCCCTCCAGGTGAAACCCCGGCTAAATCACACCGTAAACAGGCCTTAATATGTAGCGGGGAAAAACACCCAATCTGGCAACACCAGCTACCAGCGCCGCAGCCTACAGCCGTGTGCGTCATCAAAAGCAAAATGCAGCGTGGAAGCCAAAGCAGCATGGAGGCGACTGTGCAGGCGACAAAGCAGCAGTATGATCACTTAAAACAGTTTTATGACCAGGTGGTCGGTGTATGAAGGACCAACTCTGCCATATTTAAAAATAAATACAGAAATAAATAAATGCTCAATAAATGTATAAGCATACAATTAATTGCCAACAAAAAAGCGAGACATAAATGTATATAACTCTTAATTAGCTTCTTTATTTATTTGCCTTTGTAATATTTACCTTATTTATTTTTCTGTCCTTTATAATCTTCAACTTTATTTTTTAATTACTTATATTTTTAAGTATTTATTTATGTGCATGTTATAATATTTTTGTCTGTTTTATTCTTCCTTTGTATTTTTTTACCTTAGTTATTACTTCGCCGCTGTTTATTTCTCTCTGCCCTTTTTACATTTCTCTCTGCCCTTTTTACATTTCTCTCTGCCCTTTTTACATTTCTCTCTGCCCTTTTTACATTTCTCTATGCCCTTTTTACATTTCTCTCTGCCCTTTTTACATTTCTCTATGCCCTTTTTACATTTCTCTCTGCCCTTTTTACATTTCTCTCTGCCCTTTTTACATTTCTCTCTGCCCTTTTTACATTTCTCTATGCCCTTTTTACATTTCTCTCTGCCTTTTTACATTTCTCTATGCATTTCTACCTCATTATGCAAATGAGGAGGGGGTGTGTCCTAGAGAGTCAACCTTTTTTGGGTTATGTTTATTTGTCCAATTACTTTTGAGCTCCTAAAATGTAGAGTGTTTGTAAAGAAATATGTACAATTCCTACATTTTCTATCAGATATTTTTGTTCAACCCTTTAAATTAAACGTTACAATCTGCACTTGAATTCTGTTGTAGAGTTTCATTTAAAATCCAATGGCATGCAGAGCCCCACTCGCGAAAATTGTGTTACTGTCCAAATATTTTTGGCTCTAACTGTACTTTTGCCCTTTGATAGTTAAAAAGCATTTTCCTGTTGTATTTAGCAAAACAGGGTAACCTAGACTGGATGGATAGTGCATATGTGTTTTCAAATCTGCAGCAGATTCTTTGTTGGGTTTCGGTCTCAACTTTGTTGTGAAATACTTTACGCTAGGCAAGCTTTAGCGTAAACTATTTCATTGCAGCTGTGTTGGTGTCATTATCTTGTTGTCTTGGCACTGATGACTGGCTTAATTGTTTATTCTATTCACCTGTCAAGCTCCGCCCAGTTTCTCATTACCATTCATCTGTGTCACCTGCTTCAGTCTCTATTTTATGTTTCTGCTTCCAGTCATCAGTGATTATTTGATTGAGATTATTTGAGCCTTCGGTGAAAGTTCTCTAGCATACCTGATAGTGTTCTAATTGCCTGATCTTGACCCGTTCTGCCTTTGGACCTCTGAGCCTACCTGCTCCTCTCCCAATCTGTTTGCTTGACCTTTTCTTCAGACTCTTGCTAGGTTCTGCCTGTTAACAGAACATGGATCTGCTTCCTGAGACCAACCTGGATGTCTCTTGGAAATTCTTCAGATCTCTGGTCTTCTGGCTCGATTTTCTCTGAACTTCTTTGACACTGGTTTTGACTTTGTCTTTTGGATAGTCCTGCCTTCTTTAGTCTGCTTGGATCTGTTCGTCATCCAGTTCTGCAGTCTTCAAGGCTTCAGTGTTTGGAACACTCTGGGCTGCATTCGTCATGTGCTGTTAGCAGGTGCTCAGCTGGAATCCATCCCTTCCTCTGGGCATAGACTGAACTTTCAGACCAGGTTAGTGACTCATGCGTTCATAATGATTTTTCCGTCAGATTTACGTGGTCACTAACCTGAGGTTTTCCTCTGCAGAGGCTCCCGCCTTAGCTGTTCCTTTGTTTATAATAAATGTTTTTGAGAAATGGGTCTGTCTGTTTGCCTTGAATTCTGGATCCTCTGTTCTGAGCTTTGATAGTTACTTTATTTACATTTATTGCAAACTTCTACCCTGATCCTAAGTGCTTTACAGTCTCTAACAGGATTTCTTCAAGGATTACATTTAAGTTGCTCGATCAATATTACCATCGATTCTAAGATTGCTACGTGTCCCTGCTGAAGAAAGGCATTCATACAGCATGATGCTATAATTCCCAAATTTTACCATGTGTCACTATTTCTTCATAATTAGGAGACTTCAGGGCCACTCTTCCATCCATAAAAGACATTTCATCCCAGCAGTGAGTGTCCCGAGCCTGTAACATTATCAATGACCCCCCCCCCACACACACACACACACCCCCACCATGGACTGTTCCCCCTGCTGCCCTCCGGGAAGAGGCATTGCAGCATTTGATGCATGTCCAGTAAATTCCAAAACAGCTTCTTCCCCACCGCCATCAGACAGCTGAACTGTTGAGAAAACTCTTAATCATGTCAAAGACTGCCTCACACTGGCAACACCAAAACAAACACTGCATAATTGCACCATATATATTTAATGCTCCAAACTTCCATATCAATGCGTTTTTTTTGCACCATGTTTTTTCTTCCACGGTGTTTACATTTGATCACTGCTGCACTTTAAGGAATGGAAATGTCATGAAAACTCTCTGTATACAAAATGACAAGAAAGGTTGTCTAAGTCTACTTAGCATTTTGAATGCAGCTCCAAAGACCTAGCTTTAGTGTTTTCTTACCAAAGCACTTCCTTTAGCATGTTTGTGGCCTCTCCTGTGTGGTTTATAACTAGCTGGTTTTGAGATAGCTGTGCCCCTTTAATCTATACAAATGTATATAAACTTAAATTTCATTTCATGTCTAGTAAATTATTCATATACGCTAAACAGGAATGGTTTTGTTAGGGATGGCTTTATTTCTGCTCAACCTTGAAAAGGAACAGATTTTTAAAGTACATGACTAAGAAGCTATTTTTCCAGCTAAGCTCTGATTCTCTGCAGCTTCTCACTGGAAAAAATATTCATTCATCTTTTAAATCTACTTAAGCATATTTAGTTACTTCAAAATATGTTAGCAGGGTAGGACATGAAACAATTTTGCCAAGTTAACTAAACATGCTTAAGTAGATGTACAAGATGCATTAATAATTTTTTTCCTTGCCCAACATGTTATTTAGGTTGATGTACTTGCACATGTGCCATGCTTTGCATTTTCAGATGACTGATAAACCACATCTTTGTGAAATCTATATTAAAATCCTTCATAACGTCATCCTCGACATGTCTTCCTAATAATGCTGTTTATTCACCAAAATTCCCTAAAAAACATCTGAGGCT